ATGAAAACAGGATTTACTATATACCATTCGATGCGGCTCGAAAAGGTCTACAATATGATATATTTGTTTCTTATTTCTGAACCGATGTACCTCATCCGACAAGGCCCTTTAAATGGCGGGACACGAACTTTTGGTACGCTCTAAGTATTTATCATGTCTGATTGACACACAAAAGATAAAATCACTTTTTTTTCTAATTTTACCGAATACTAAAAATAAATAAATAACAAATAGGAAATTCTTTTCTTAAAAACTTTCATAATATCTCATGCATCAAAATATTGTTAATTCAAATCAAAACACATCCATAATACAGCTTTATATTTATTATCATAAAGTGATTCCTGTAAATATGCATATTTTACTTGAATTTCTAAAGCTTTCAACTAAAAGAAAAATCAACAAATTCCTTTGTTATAAGTGTCAACTTAAAAAACTGAAATTATTTGATAAATTTGTTTTTGTTCGGTTAAACAATCTTTTTGTGAAAAAAATTCTGTTTTACTGTCGTCTTTATTTAGTCTTAGTGTTTCTATTGAATATTTTCAATAAACAATTGTTAAACGTTAACATCTTCATAAGTATTATTTAAATGCTTCTTCTAAAACAAGTCATTCATAAGATTGACTAATATGTAAATGAATTGACATTGAAGGTAAAATAAGTTTTGAATGAAATTTATTAGAACAACTTGTACGTAATATAACCTATGTGACCGCTTGAACAGTAAGGTTGTCAGCGGATGATGGAATAACTAACTATAACATGCACATCCACACCTTCAGCAAGATTCCTCTTATGATTTACAATGGTCCATCAGAAATTATCAAAATCCATTAGCAACTATCATTTGTAACTCATACACTTTGTGCAAAGAGATTTTCTTGAGTACACATAAAGAGTTATTTTATAAGCAAGGTTGTATTTATCGTATACTATTGTTATTAAGAATTCGTCATTTTGATGTCATAATGTCATTAAGCTAAATTTGTTTCAAGAAGAAAAAGTGCAAAGCATATAAGTATGCATATATGCTGCTGTAATAACTCGATCTCAACTGTATATAAGAATAATTATCGAAAATTTTTTTTTTCGAGACCTTTCGTTTGTATATATACATGTGAATATAACATATTACGAGTTTCACAATTAATACTAGTTTCATTTTTTTTGCTGTCTTTTGCTCGTCGATACCTTTTCAAATATCAATATATTTTATTTTTATTTCATGTGCAAATCACTCAAGCATATCGCTTGATGCACAAGTTTTGTTGTGTGTAACTTTCTGTGCGCATCTTGTGTAATTCATTCACGATAAAGTATGTAGTAAGAAATAACGAACAGTAAAAAATGAATAACTTTGCCGTATCACAAACGTAAAAAAATAACGAATCAATCAACAAAAACACAAACAGTGTTAAACACGCAATACTAACTCTAATCAACAGATTCACGACGAAAATTTTTCTCCATATATTGGATTTTGCTTTATTTAGTTGTGGTAAGTAACTTATAAAAATAATTCAAAAAGTAGAAACAAGTCTATTAAATAATGAACACATAGTCACAAATTATCTGCACATTAGACACAATTGAGACAGACATAAAATCGATAACAATCAATGACTTTTCTTTTGAACGATTCATTGATGACTGTTTATTAGTTAGCAGTCTCCTTGATTCATTTTGCTATCTCTATTTTACTTTTAATTATTACTTTAATCAGCTTTGAATCATTAACAATGCCTATATATTACATAACTAGTTTGCTTTCGTTATGGTCAATGATATGCATCATGTTTGGTTAGTCAAGAAACAGGCATTGAACTATCAGTATAATGTAATTAAGATTTTGATGACAGTAGATATAGAAGTGCTACTGACGCAATAGTAAAATTTTCATATCGGTGAGGATAGAGGTAATAACACTGCGAAGTGTAAGAGACAGAGCAGATAGTTTAAGTCTGGTATTTTTCTGCAAGGATGGTTACGATAATTTTGAGGTTGCCTGACATTTTCATAACATTAGTGTTTCCTATTTTCTTCTTGTTCAGTTGATAACTCTTTCAAGCTTTGTGCATACTTTTAATTCCTATGATTTTGATCATCTTTTCGACTCATATGCAATGATTAAATAAGATCAAAACAGACAATTTTTCTTTTATTCATACTAGTGAGTTTAATTAATCCAATCATATGAAGTTCATGAGAAAGATGAATTACAAAATAATTCAAAGATTTTATAGTTATTGATAGAAAAGGTTTAGCTATCTGTGAGATTTGTCACTGTAATATGAAAAATAGACGCCATAATGTCTTACGGTGCTCATCAATCTGGGAACATGAACATGAAAAGTTCCAGTCACGCAGCGATCCGAAAATGTGAGCATAAAAACTACAGTCCACGCCGAGTTGCATTGTGACGTGAGAAAGAAGCTGCAGATTATATGTGAATACCTTAGGAAATTGCATGCTTCTATTAATTTTCCTGGAAACTCATTCCAGGGTGTACATGACTGATCGGAGATAAAGAAAATACAGAGGATGATACCATGGCCTGATGTATATTTGCTAAATGGAAAAGTATGTATTGTAACAAGAAACTCCATCCTCTTTTAATCAATAGATATCATTTAACTATGAAAATGACGGCTATAATACATAACTTATGGTTGTTACAATAGTGTTAAGTTTCGTATACGTTCGAACAAGAAGTACAGAAAACTTTTCAATATTCCCCAAGAAAACATGGTCCTAAAAGAAGAAAGCTAAGTGAAAGAATTTCAAGTGTATAGAGAGAAGAAAATATACAAATAGATGTCTAAAATTTATTTTTTTTCGTTCCTTGTATACCTCCTGCGAAAGTATTCAATGGTTTTCATAATTTTAACAATCAAGGGATATGAACTTGGAAGTTTTCAACTGTCAAATCTCCAGTTGTCGTCAAAATTCTCAGCTGTGAACATTGCAGAGTGTGAGGTGAATGTGGATAAAGGTGTTTGTGAAAAGAAGACCCGCATGCACATCCATATCCTGAATTAACTTTGATTATTAAGTGAGCTTTCTTTTTTTTTATATCTATTTACTCTATTTTCAATAAATTTGAACAAATAAACAAAGAAATTTTGAATTTTCATAAGCTACAATGTTTATAATACTTAAGTAGGAAACAGCTAGACAATCTTTTTTTTTTATTTTAATGTTGGTATATAAGTCAAAATTTATACATGAACTAGAGCTTATAAGTTATAAGTACTCATCATAAAAACGCGTCAATTCATCCCATGAATTCAGCTGAAGTAGACCTTTTGTTTTCAAATTGTTGTTCTACTGCTGATTGATTGATGGCAGTTTAATTCTTTTTTTTACATTGATTGTTACATTGACCACATGTTGAATTCTCGAAAACTATCTTGAGAAATTTCGTTCGTATTTTAAGCTCCGTAATATTATAGTAATCATCAAAGCTATACTTATGTTTTAGAACAAATATTATTTCATACATCTTCAAAACTAGTTAATCAACTACTTTAACATTTATGTGAAAAGTAATCATTTGAACTCTTAAATTGTTGGTATGCTTTCAGAAGTAATCGAATCATCTGCGAAAACTGTTCATGGCTTTCTTTTTCTGCTTGCATTTATAGTCTAAGCACAACAAGTTTTTCATTATTTTTGTTCACTTTGCGGCGATTTTTATTTATTTTGTAAATCATAAAACGCTCCCCTATACCAATTGACCTTTGCGAATAATACAGCACATTTTGAGCAGTTAAGAACTTTTATATAAGTGACTTTAAAAACAAATTTTCAAGAAACGGAACATGGTATTTCTGCTGACAATGTTTATACTCTCCTTCTTAGTGTCACCAGCAGATTATTCCAAAAAAAGGAAATGATTCATTTTTTTACCATTGTACCGAAAGAGAGAGTGCTGATAACACATTTTTCAAAATAATGTTCTATAGAAAAACAAACCAAAAATATATTTATCGATTACTTCGAATTCGTAACAATCTTACTTTCATCAACGCGTAACGGCATATAAAACGCACACATGATGAATCGCTTTGGTGATATCGACGTTTCATTTAAAAAACTTCCACCTATTTATGGTTATCGCAGTGAAAAACTGGTTCCAATTGAAAAAGCACTAGAACCTATCGAGCCTCAAATTAATGAACTACCTTATTACATAAAGATCGCTAAACGATACTGTCATTTTCCGTCAGAACATGGACTAACGCATGATGAATCAGCTGCTGTTTATATGTATACAATGGAATGGGGTGAAACTACTTTGTATCGTATATTAAATAAAGCATTACGATCTGAAAATCGACAAGCATTAAAGATATGGTTTCCATATTTAAAATTATTTGATACGGCATTGGATAAGTTACCTACTGTTAAAGAGGTGGTATGGAGAGGTGTGCCTCTTGATATTGGCAAGAACTTTGCCAAAGACCAGATTGTGACATGGTGGAGTGTTAATTCATGTTCGTCATCAGTCGATGTTATTAAAAATTTTCTTGGCAGCAGCAAACATTCAACGCTTTTTCTGATTGAAGCTATTTATGGCAAAAAAATTTCCAGATATACAGAATATGAAAATGAAGATGAAATTATTTTGCGAATGGGCTCACAATTTCGTGTAAAGAGTAATCCTTTAGATTATTCATATAGTTCACATGTCGTACATTTTATTGAAATCGATGACAACAATGATCAATCATTAACATCGGCTATGAATGAAATGCATTCGCCTGCAAAGCCATCATATATAAATACGTCGGGTAAGTTATTCATACCTTTTTCTATGAAATACTTTTTGTATGATACGTATGCGTAAAATAATAAAAAAATCCTAAATACTGATGATTGTATATGTGATAAAAATGAAATTCGATAATTGTATAAAAATATTCAATCGATGCAAAATCGGCAATGTCATCAAAGAAAAACTTCTAATAACAATAATTCGATAAATGCTAAAGACTTGTTGCTTATTTTCGATTGAGGTTTTTTTTACGAATTAATTTCATTAATGAAATAGAACTCAACAGAATCTACTAGTTTGAGGATCCTCAGTTGATTGGGCCCAACTTGTGGACTCTACGAGAAAAAGTTGGATCCGACATCGAATCACTCCTGAAAAGCACATTTCGCGTCAAAAATTGATCGAATCAGACCTGACTTTTGTTGAAAGAGATCGTTTCGGGTGATTTCAAGTCTATTACTATCATATCGGTTTAAAAGAATTCTCTCACTCGTCACTTACGACCTTTTCACCTATTTACTTATTCTCGCCCGTTGATTCTTAAGCTCTTTGACTTTCATTACTTCCTTGAACTGCTTGAGTTTCATAAGTTCTTTTACTATAAAAACAATTCATACTGTGACAAACTTAAAACATAGGGCTTCTGAAATGGTCTCACAAAATGTGTTCAGAATTTTTTCAAGTTAAAAATCAATATCCGCAACTTTGCAAGACTCTTAAAGCTTTTCAGCTAGCAAAATTTCAGAAATCTCCAAAAGATCTTCGAAAGTCGAAAGCGAGACACTCCTTTTGTAAACTCTCACAAGTCTTCTCAAATTGTATTGTCCATAATACTTAAAATGATTCTGAGATCGTTTTGAAAATCTTACAGACATCAAAAGTTTAGAAGCATGCTTTTTATACTAGAATTTCTTGTTATCCTTGAATTCCTTACTTCCTACGAGACATTATACGCGAGCGGTGACTTCCAGCTGACTTCCTGTTATTTCTAGGACGCAGTGGCCGTAATTCATCTGAAAAAAAGCAAAAAATTCCCGGTTGGGAATACTGCTTCCGTGTTCCATCGATTTCCGGTATTTTCTTGCTGTATACGATAGTTTCTTTTGACATCTTCCCAGTCGGTTCCAGTGGAACTCGATTGTTTTCATAGCCTGGAGTCATCGACCTGAATTATTGACCATGAGCTATTTTTCGTGGCACTTGAATCAAATTATTGATTAATGTATTTCGGCATGGCCGCGCGTTACGGAATTTCATTTTTTCATACTGCAACACTTATATCTCATGAACGATAAAAGCTAATCCCTTGAAATTTGTATCATATATAGAGACTATTTAGATATATTCCCAATAAAAATTTTATCGGTTTATATGCACGCAAGGCTGAGCTATTAAAACAATTCTGACCGTTACGGAATTTAAAAAAATGGAAATTGTTTTTAGGGTGAGTGGAGAGTTAAGCATTTTACTGCACAATCAAGTCACATACAACTAAACGCTCTGTATGCAAATTGTTCAATTTTCCACGAGCTTTCAGAATATTGGTTCATTTCTGAACAGAGTATAATTACATCAAACAAAAACTTGTAAACACTGTCTGTTACGGAATTTCGTGTTTTTTTCGATTTTCTAATGGGGAAGGTTTGACATCTCGAAATTTCCAATTATCACGATATAAACTCATCTTTTCCCCAATCAAAGAGCAGTACACAGACAGTTCTACTGTTCGAGTATGTCAATTTCACTCACACAATGAAATAACATTAAGAATTCTGTCTACTTTTCAGGCAAAAAATGAAATGTAGTAGAACTCAATACTGAATTTTTTGATAAAAATGGTCAAAGAATTTCTTTTTGGATGGTAATCGGATAAAAATAAAGGTTTATGTCGCTGGTCAACAAGGTATCTTGGAGCTTGCAACATGTTTCATAAACTACCAGTGGTGCACTTGTGATTTCAGAGAGAATTTTTTTTTATTTTTGTGAGTTTAAACCTTTCCCATGCGAGGGTGACCGATGCGCGGCCATGCCGATTTCTAAGTCGTATTATGTGCCATTTCAAGAATAAATGACTATGCTGATTAAGTAAGTAAAGCGAATGAGAGTGTGGATGTGGATATAGATATAGTTGAGTTGGTCTTCTTTTCATTCTCACGCCCATACTTAACCCACATTGAATGGGCACAAACTAATAGAAGTAAAAGAGTATTTATATACAAAAATACAAAATACAGAAAACGATGTTCGAAAAATGGCGGCTTCGAAATATGCGTGTTGGTGAGCGTTTTTCTTCACGCACACATCCCATTCATCCACCTTACATTCCCAATAAGGGTGTGGGTGTGGATATAAGTCCACCCTTGCACCAAACACACATCCACCCTTATAACGAAAACCATAATTAAACAAAAAAAACTTGCGTACTCTACAATTAGCACAAACTTTTCTTAAAATAAAATAACTTTTCATTAAAATTTTTTAAAATTAACTATCAAGTTTTATCATTTTTATTCAAAACTAATAAAGTTGTCAGCTTTAAATCAACCAAAAATTTAAAACTATTTCATTCTATTTAAACTCAATTTTCTTCATGTTCGAAAATGGGAAGTATCGGGCGAAAGCATAATAGAATCTTACCTGCATCCTCTATTTGAATGCTTAGGAGATCTTTCGGCAGATTTACATTCATCGTCCAGAAACTCATGTGATCACAAGTTTTTTAGAACTACGTGAAAAGTATCCTCAAAGATGCATAGTAGATCTGTAAAGTTCCCCCAAAACATAGGGATTAGGTTTGACATTTGTTGTCCCAGAACTCGACATTCTCTTAACTAGATGCAGATAGAATCTTCTCATGATTTTTCCACTTTCGGAACCTGTCAGTGTTCATTATTTTATTGTTTGAATCTTTGTCCGGTATTCATATAATTCCTCGAAGAATTATAGCTCCCTAGGACGCTTTTTCATAATTGTCCAAAGATTCTGCATCGCCGCAATTCAGAATAAAATCCTCAGACCCGAATCGTTTCATATGGAAATATTGTATCGAATCAGTATTGCTCTTTCTTGGAAAACTCCACTACAGCGATCTCCATGCGTATTTTTTGCCCATCGCTAAAGTGGTACCTTTTAGGATCTAAAAGACCTTAGTATTGAGTTAAACAAGTCTCTCCAAATACAGATTGCCATGAATCCTGTCTGAATTTCTCCAGGAGTTAACAGAATCGAGCTTTGCAGAAATGGTAAAGATGTAATAACTATTACAAAGTCCGGTTTTTTAGGATTCTAGGGCAAGTATCTGAATTTTTATCCGCGGAAAGAATATTCATGAAAATTTCACCAAGTTCTCTCTCTCCTTCGGAGGAGACCTCTTCGACAAATGATGATGGCGATCCCTTTTCCTTTTCATGTTTCGTTCATTGTAGTCATTCCCAATATTCCAGTTGATGTTCAATGGACACAGAATGGGGTGACTGTTGCTGGAGGGCACGGTCACGGTGATTCCACCGCTCAACTTCAGGACCCTCATGGCCTTGCCATTGATGATGATCAGACTATCGTTGTCGCTGATTCCTGGAATCATCGTGTCGTCCAATGGAAGATGGGCGATACGAATGGACAAGTAGTAGCTGGTGGCCATGGCCAAGGAAATCGATTGGACCAATTGAATTGTCCAACCGATGTATTGATCGACAAGGAGACGGATAGTCTCATTGTTTGTGATTGGGGAAATCGACGAGTCGTACGGTGGTCTCGTCGTAGTGGCACAACTCAAGGAGAAATCCTCGTCGACAACGTCATGTGTGCAGCATTGGCTATGGATGATCAGAGACATCTCTACATCTCTGATACTGACAAGCATGAAGTACGACAATACCAAATAGGAGACAGGAATGGAACCGTCGTCGCCGGTGGTCATGGCGAAGGTGCTGGTCTCAATCAAATGAACTTTCCCACCTACCTCTTTGCCGATCAACAACAGACGATCTACATGTCAGACAATAACAATCATCGTGTGATGAAATGGGACAGAGGTGCAAAAGAGGGATTTGTCGTCGCCGGGGGTTATGGCGAAGGCGAGGCTCTAACACAATTGTATAGTCCCCATGGACTGTTCGTCGACACATTAGGTACTACTTATGTGGCAGACACGGGAAATCATCGAGTAATGTGTTGGTCTAAAGAAGCGAAACATGGCATTATCATTGTGGGTGGAAATGGTTACGGACAAGGCGCAAATCAGTTGTCTAATCCCAAAGGCTTGTCATTCGATCGACATAACAATCTGTATGTTGTCGATTGTGCTAATCATCGAGTGCAACGGTTTTCAATCAAATAAACTCAAAATAATGATTCTTTTTTTTTATTTTCTTCAAATAAATCACGTTGATTGATTAAAACTGTTGGTGGTAGTGCGGGTGTGGTTCTGATTGAAGATAAGATCACACCAATACACCTCACACCCAATTGGCAAACTAAATTAGAAGTTGTGATTTGATTCATAAAAATGGTGAGCGTGGGTGGGGATGCGTGTGTCATTGTTCTCTTATTCAGAACCAATGTCACATTCACATCCACACTGTGTTCAACCGATTAAGAGAACGAGTTTCAATATTTTTCTTTGTTCAAAATAGCTGAAACGATGTATCTTTGATAGTATGAACTTATATGTAGCGTATCTTTGTACCATTCGGCAAAATTGCACCATCAATACTTTTAGCTTGAGCCAGTTGTGCATCCGTTATGCCTCGACATCCGATCAGATTAGTGTCGACAAAGAAAGACAAGTCTATGTTGGTATCAATCATTATGCAACCAGCAAGATTAGTATGATTGAAATGGCACATCTCTAATGTTGCACCCGTCAAGTCAACATTTAGCATCGGCGAATGCGTAAAATTCGACATGATAATCTTTGCTCCACTTAAATTGCTTCCGATAACATTAGCTCCATAGAATGATGAATGTCGAATGGTGGCATTTATTAACGTAGATCTGTTAAAAGTAGCTGTAGTATGATCAACAGGATTCTGATCGAATCTGCATGTAACGATATGTATACGAGACAAGTTTGCTCCAATGAAACGTGCTCCAACTAAAGAAAGACGCTCGAATGTTGCATCGACAAGTGATATTTCTGTAAAATCAACATTTTCGTATTTGTCATACGGTATATCTATATTATCATACTATCGATAGGCATAAACCTTGTTCAAATGAGCATGGCTCATTGTGGCACCTTCAAATACACAATTCATACAGATCATACCAAGTATTTGAGCACTATCGAAATTAACCGACCCAAAGAAAACATCACGTGCACATGTTCCACGAAAATTTGCACGGATTAATGATGACTTTTCAAATGTAAGTTTAATTTTACTTCCATCAAGGAATGCACATCTGAAATCAGAACCATCCATAATAGCTTCATCAAACAAGGCACCTTGGAAACTGGTTTTTCGAAAGAATGCATTAGTGAGTTGAATACGTGAGAGTACAAAAGCATCGTTGGTCGCACGGGCATGACATTCACGAGGGCATTCATCGTTATCAACTTCGTTGATCCCTAGAAACAAGCCGGATTAGTTGGCTGAAGCTAAGTCGATGACACTTGATAGAGAGTCAAACGATTCATTATGCGTGGGTGTGGGTGTGGGTGTGGGTGTGTGGGTGTGAGGGTGTGGGTGTGGGTGTGTGGGCGTGGGTGTGGGTGTGGGTGTGGGTGTGAGTGTGTGGGTGTGTGGGTGTGGGTGTGGGTGTGAGTGTGTGGGTGTGTGGGTGTGGGGGTGGGTGTGAGGGTGTGGGTGGGTGGGTGCGGGTGGGGGTG